CCCTCACAGACCCTCCTAGACCCCCACAGCATCCCCTGCCCCTCCTTCCCCTGGGAATCACGGTGTCCATCCACAGTCCTGGAGTTCCAGGCGAGCGTGGCCATGGAGGGGGAGATGTTCCCTCCTGGACCAGGTGATGTTCCCTCCTGGACCATCAGCCCAATCTCTGGCACGAAGATCATTTCTGGCCGTCCAGTGGGAAGCCCTTTCCTGCCCCGACGCTCCTCTCCTCGCTTGGGTTGTCAGCGGGAGCTGAGTCCTCCTGCGAGGAGCAGAACTCGGGGCCTGGCTGCCCTGGAGAGGATAAAACCCCATCCAAACAGCCCCAGTCCAAACCTTCACCATTTATGGGGTCACACACACAGGTTTTTCAGTCATTTCAACACGAGCCTTTTCCTGGGACCACGTGAAGTTCCTGGGGCAGCCGGAGCAGCTGCAGACCCTGGGTGGGATGGAGGGGTCGTGTCTCGTGCTGGTCCCAAAGCCCTGGAGGGGTTGACGGTGCCCCAGTGATGCCAGGACACGTCTGTGGAACAGCAGCTGGCAGGAGGAGAGGCCCTGGGCTGCTGTGCCCCCTCAGATGTCTCTGTCTGGGGTCACGGCTGCCAGGGACAGGCCCAGGGGCTCCAGGAGCATCCCCCAACATGCAGAGGGAGAGGAAGGGAGATGAAAGAGAGATGAAGGGCTTCTGTTTGCAGTGCCGTTGGTGGTGCTGGTGGCAGGGGCTGGACACAAGCCCGGGTGGCCAAGAAGGCCACTGTGGCACCGGGGCTGTGCCAGCAATGGTGTGACCAACAGGACCAGTGATGTCCCCTGTGCTGGCCCTGCTGAGACCCCCTCTGGAATCCTGGGGGCAGTCCTGGGCCCCTCCTGACAGGAAAGACACAGAGGGGCTGGAGCATGTCCAGGGAAGGAAACGAAGCTGGGAAGGGGCTGGAGCAGCAGGAGCAGCTGAGGGAGCTGGGGGGGCTCAGCCTGGAGAAAAGGAGGCTCAGGGGGGACCTTCTG